TCCACAATGTCCTGGAGCATGCGGTAGTCATAAGCCACGCTCTCGCGCTCGATGAGACTGTTATCGGCCTGTAGTGCTTCCCGAAGAAAGTAGATCCGGGAACTGGTCAAGTTGCGGCAGATTAAACTCAGCTACCGCTTTTCCGCTTACTTGAAGCAACTCGTTCAGACTCTTGAGTGTGTTAAACATCACCAAGTTGTCCTTCGCCTGTCCTTCCATGGCGCGGAATCGGCGGTTGAAGTCCTCGGACAGTGCTTCGTAGAACTCATCCCATAGCTGACGCACCTGCGCAACCTGAGAGTACACCAAAAGCGTAGCGAAAAGCTGACGCAATTGATACGCCATCTGGAATGTCGCGGCTTCCTCCATACAGGCTCTCCACTCTTCGTCATTCTCGAGATATCCCAAGCGTACCGCCGCGTCCTTGTACGATCCACAGACGACGCCATCCACAGTCCGAAGGTCCACAAAGGAAGTAGGACCTTTGCGGTGACACAGCAACACGCGCAAGTAGAACCTCTCTTCATCTCTGGGAGACATGTGTACCATGCGTCCTAGCGCTGCTTGGTACTTCTTGCGACAGACCCACATCTTGTGTTTGTCCCACCGGAAGTACTTTGGGATATCCTGGTACACAATTGTCTTGGCTACCTGGTCCTCGGGGGCTTCGCTCGCGCATACCTCGAAAAAGGCGGTAAGCTTCGTGCGCTCGTTACGGCCAATGACGCGTTCCGGGTCTTCTGTCTCCCAGAAAATCACCATCTGCTGGCCTTCGAGGTGCACCGTAAGCAGAAACACCGCATGGGTCTTTCCCTGAACGACGTGTCCAAGGAGACGCATGCACGCCTCAACTGGAGATATGTACCGCGCGGTTACGTACCGAATGATCTCGTTGGGCTCCCGTCTGTTAATAGTAGCCTCGCCTGGCACCGCCTCCACTATAATCACTGCCCTGTCGGATCCCTTGTAGACGTACTTGTACAGATACTTCACCACCGAGAGCGCCGTGCATATTTCAATGTTGATGTGGCAATTGTACTTCTGTGAAAAATAGGGATTGTACGGTACCACCCATTGATTCACCGTTGCGTTGTCGTACTCTTTTCCCTTTGAAGATAAGAACTCCTTCCGGTCGACGTCGGCGTCTGTATTGCGGGAATCCGTCATCACTGACCCGCGTCGTTTCCGTAAACGGTTTCGGGTAGCCCTTTGTACAC